ACTCTTTTGTATGACCTTAATGATAGTAATCTTTCATTTCTTTATAAATTGCATTTTTTTAAAATCAGTTCAAGGCAAGTTTCGTGAATACAGATGTCTTACTACAAAATTGGATACTAATTTTAGTGAACTATTCCTTTTCTTAGGAGTACTGCAAACTGCAGGCAAACTTAAAGGACTTTTAAAATGTGATGAGTATAGTAGCATAAACCGTCTTATGTCGAAAGGCACTCTTTTCCCCCTCCCTCTTCCTTCAGATGAAGTAATAGGTCTGCTACAAAGAGTCTCACAATTTTACAGTTACACAATACCATGGTTGCCTATTGCAAGAGCTATACTGGAGCGACATGCAGATTCTATCCTTTTTCCTTGATTCCATGTCCTTTAGGTATGTTTTCTACCTCTTCTGCTCTACAATTCCATTCCGTTACTTTTTAAATAACAGAGGCATCATATGGAAAATAAAATTTAAGATGGGTTTTACAAGTCTGTATGACTCAGTTCTACAAACAGATTGTAAACAAAGTTATCAGCATATACCATATACACCAACATACAGCTAGTATTACCATTTCTTCTTGTGCAAGATCTCTAAGTTTCACAACATCAAATTCTCTAAGTAACACTTAGTAAACCAAAGTAAAATATTCCAAAGTATTTATCTTCAGACCCAAATTCAGTAATGTTCTATCCACAACCTGCCAAACCACCAGTTACTGGGAACGTATTAGCAGTCATTAAGAGCACAGGTTTTAGAGTTTGACATGGAACCAAATGCACCCTATTACCTATTACTGGGATCTTGGATGACTTTTCCATCACTATGCCTGCATTCCTTCACAGAATCTTGTGATATTGGTACCAAGTACGTCAAGAAAGCTTTAAAATCCACATTCAATGCCATCTGAAACAACACAGCAGTTAGTCGACATTTTTTACTTTTTACCCAGATGAAAATCAAAGATCAAATAATTTCCATTTACAAAAAGTATCATTACCCTTCTGCCATTATTATCTGTCATATTCTCAATAAGGAGGCACAAATTTTAACTTACAAAGTTCAATTCTGTCAGGATTTTCTTTCAAGACCCTTCGTAATCACGAAGCACGTTCACCCAAGACTCTGAGTGCCTTCGCCCACCACATGCCAGACATTGTGCTGAGGCTTTTAAGAATCACAACTGCAGAAAGAATCCTGAGACTTAGAATTTGATTTTCCCACACTGCAAGAATTCTTATGTACCATAAAGTTTTCTACTACTTGATCTGTACTTTCCTATTAAGTTATTAAAAAAATATACAACACAAGGTTACTTTGAGCTCTTCACGTATCATCTTATGAGCTATTTTGCTGGGCTCATTGTAACTTAAAACCTTAATCCTAGAGAGCAAGTCATTTAAAAGACACATTTACACAGTTTTCTATTTCTGAAATTAGTAAACAAATGATTTTCAAGACTTTCTAGCTGTTCATGTTCTTCTGAGCCCTAGCCACATAATCATTTTACCTGTTAAATTCACTGTCATTCTTAAATCTCCCCTTACTTCTGGCTAAATATTCAATTTGATATAGGAATGGTACACAGGAAAACATCTTAAAAATATTTGAGACTTTAATTAGAATCAATCACCCATCCATGTTATCCATGAGGTATGTAAGCCTTTCACTAAACTGTAGCAAGGGTTCTAGGAAGTATTTCTCTTTTAAATGGACACATTCCAGATTAGCATTTGTCCCTTTCCCAGTAATCTTTCTTCCAAAGGCTGTCAGTCAATATTCAGCAAAAAAAAATATCTGAAGTTCCATACCGAGATGATGTGGTTCCAACTCACAGCAACCCTGTGTAAAACAGAACTAAATACTGCCTGGTCATGCAATCAAGTAATACATGCAAAGCACCAGCAGAATGTCAGGCCCATGGCAAGCAGTTAGAAATTATTGTTTAGCATTTCCAATTATTTCTGTTTTGGGGAATAGAAACAATTCCTAAGAATTTTGCTAACCTGAAACGCTGTACCACTCCTATCAACACTGTAATGCTATGCACCAAATAGTAAAATACATGGTCTACAATTCTGATATGTAAGTAACAGCTTTCCTTCCCAGACTGAGACAATCTAAACATATTATATACATCATATAATTTATGAAAAATGAGCTACAAAAATTGAGACTTTAGTAGTAGCTAGGCAAAGACATAATTATTTAATACTAGTATTAAAACCGCAAACACACACAGCATTATCTGGATTTAATATATTAAAATTATTTTCCAAATTGATAAACTTAAATTTAGAAGCCAGAGATGATGCCAATGTCCTAGACTTGTGGAGATGTAGGCGTAATTAAAATCAATGATTCTCACCTGAGTCTCTCTTGTTCTCCAACATTCTGATGGAAAGAGTATCAATAGTGCTTCTTCCCTTGGACAAAATTTCTTGGCAGGCAGCATAGCATCTTGAGGTCTGCGGTAGTACTTGTGTGGGTCCAGGATGCCACACGGGTGATTCTAATATATTCTTTAGCAAGGCATGCAAGGGGAGCAGGCATCCCTTCCCCATTCCCTTTTTAAATGGACTGACATAGAGAACCCCAGCAACCACAACCACTTTTTATTTTGTGAGGCAATGTGTTCCCTAATTGCAATGTTAAATAATATAACAATTAAGAAAAAACAAACCCCACAGTCCTGAATTTGAAAAGATGGCAGAGAATTACAATTTAACAACTGCGGGAACAGAGATTACAGGACTTTTGCAGATGCATCCACCCTCCTAAAATTCTTCAAGTAAATCACCAAGTTATTCACACCAATGGGATAAACGGTTAGCTGTATTACTACTTAAAAATGTTACAAACAAAAAAACACCAACCATTTCTTGCTGAAAAGAAAGTGTCAATGTATCATTGAGTTTTATGAGTTAACAATATATAAACCTTTTGTTGTGGTTTGTTGTTATGTGCCATTGAGTCAAACCCGACTCATAGCAACCCCTCCTTGGGTTTCCGAGGCAGTATCACTACGGAAGTAGGATTGCCCAACCTTCCTTCCGAGGAGTGGCTGGTGGGTTTGAACCGCCAGCCTTCTGGTTAGCAGGCAAGTGTCTTTAGCCACTATGCTACCAGAGCTCCCCCTATAAACCTTTTAGGCAACCTATTTTTTCTTCAATGCAGCATCACCAGCATTCTTCAACCATTCAACTGTAATTCAGAGAAGTATTTGAAAAAAATAAGTATCAAATTTGTGATCCAAAACAAGTATGTCACTAGATTTGATTAATATAGTCACATTAGAGACAGCGACATAAATTTAACTTTACTAGTTAACGTTTTAACTATCACTTAAAATTCTTATTTTAATGTCTGATTTCAAAAGCTTGAAATTTTTATATCTTTGATGTATTTATTAACTTGACAACAGGAGCTGTTTCATTTTCCAATGTGTTATAAACCATTTAATTGGAAATTGAGAGCAATTAAAAATGTTCTCTAACCTTAAAATAGTACCTTGCTTTAGATAAACATCATTATAGAAACTCTAATTACGGAAATACATCAAGCCCTGTACCTTTCCAGGTTACACCTGCCCTACTCCCTCTCCAGTACGGTAAAAACAAATTGAGGATAATGTTCAGGATGTTTTTCACCTGCCTTTTAATTACATCATGTAAAAATGGAAGATGTAGAGATCAAGAACCTAATACCAAAGGCAGACAAAATTAAATGCAATGAAAGGATATTTGTAAGTCTAAAAAGAAAAATTATAACCCAAGACGCATGGGGAAAAATATTTACGTGGAGTTTTTAATCCAGATCAGAATTCAGTTGTTGTCACTTGACCATAAATTTAAACAGAAACCATGTTCTGAGACATACATTCTAATCCATGTGTCAACAATACTTATAGTCAATGAAGCGGGTCAGTTAATTGAACTTATTAGTAACATTTCATTTTTCTAAACCAACAGAAATCTATAGTGGTTTGCCCCATTACATAGTTCAAACATTGTCTTATGAAAACAAAATGAAACAAATTTAAATAAAATTGAGGATAAAAATATTTTGAAGTTAAAATAAAGCAAACTCAGTCATTGGCAGATAAATCAAGTAAAAACACTGGTGAAAGTTGGAAGCACAGGATAACGGGCGTGAGTCTTCAGCACAAAGTACATCTTTGAAAACGTGAAACGTGACTCTTCGGAGGATAACAGCTAAATATCCAAGAATCATCAGGTTTGAAAAATAATTGCTTAATCACTCTCCAAAACACAGCTGCAAGAACTAAGGATTTTGTTAAAAATACCAAGGTGATAATATTTATTGCATCTTTAGATTGCATGTCGAAACAGAAATTAATAGTGCACAACAGCTTCACCAAAATATATACTTAAGGTGGGGTGGAACCCTAACATATTTATAAACAAAGTCTAGACTGCATGTGCTTTTCAAAGGGCTGAATATAGCCAGCTGCCAACTTTGTGCTCTTACATACTTGAATTAGTGGGTATGTGTATACTAAATTCATTTATTTCTGTCTACAAGAAATAAGAACACTGCCCTATACAATCCACTGTTAGCAGTAAGTACAACATCAAAAATTATTGTACAATTTATACATACTAAAATATTTTCTTTCTCTAGAAATAACTCAGAACAAAACCTAATCATTATAGGACTTAATTTGGGAAATCTCAAATTACAGTAGGGAAAAACCAAATCAAGAGTGTGTATTGAGCCCAACACAAAGTTCCTGTCATAAGGCTATAAGATTAGTAAGTGCAACTGGTAGAATAAAGCATGCTCAAATTGTATGTTTGGGTCTTTGTATATTTATCAAACCTTTAAATTAAACAATACTAGCTAATGAAACGTCTTAAAGTGGAGCAAGGTAATTGGGAACTCTGTCATTTCTGTGACCACTTTTGTTACCCAACTTATACAATGCGCAAAGTGCTAAGCAACTACAAAAACACATTTACAGCAACACTGAAGACCTGGGGAAATGAAATCCAACAATTTTATTTTAATGAGCTGTATTTTCTAAATTTTTATTTTATTTTTTCCTGTTTTCATACAGTATTGAAAACAAAACGCAGCACATTCACATTTTCCCGAGGAACTGTAAAGATGATCTCTACAGGGATAAACGTTGAAAAGCCTGAAGCTCCACCAACTGATGTTGCGAACTCTCAAAGGGAGTAAAGGCTTGATCTGAATGGTTTAGAACATGTACTGTAATTTAATAGAAGAGATGGTCATTTTATATTTAATGATTTAAAAGAACTTCCCAGTCCATGCGAAGAGTACAGTCCAAGAATAAATCAAATTTCTGAACGCATCTTATGCTACATATGTGTATACTTTGCGATCCTCAGGTGTTCGTGCCAAATATTCTCTCTCAATAAGTCCTTCAATACGTTTCTTAATAACAACTGGACTTGGTAAGAATCGAGCCTTCAACTGCTGAGTTACCTAAAAGAGAAGGTAAAAAGACTAATGCCTACCAGGAAAAAAACTAAAAACAAAACAAAACACCTTACAAAATATTAATAGCTCCTCATACTAAAGTTCCTTTCTTTGAAAAGAACCAATGTGTTACCAATTTTAAGACTCAGAGTTCAACTTCTGTCAGGATGCCAGGTATTGCGACATCAGTAATAAGAAAACATTAACTATGGTAGCAGACATAGGCTGATTATATACTGTGTATCCATTAATTTATTTAGGAGTGCTGGTGGCACAGTGCCTGAAGTATTTGACTGCTAACCATCATCAGCCACTCTACGGAAGGAAGATTGTGCAATCTACTTCCATAAAAATTTACTGCTTTCAAACCCAAAGAGGGTTGCTATGAGTTGGAATCGACTTGATGTCAGTGAGTTTGGTTTGGTTTTGGTATTAATTTATTTAATGCTCTTAACTCTGGAAAGTAGGTCATTTTACAAATGAGGAAAATAAGCTAGAGAAAACTAAGGTGAACAGTTGGTAAATAAGAGAGTCAGTGGCTAGAGATGAGCAGCTCAGGTTCCCACTTGAAGTCCGCACTCTTTCCACTAATCCACCCTGCTTCTCCTGCAGATGAACCAATCCATCTATCACCCAGATATTCTTTTGCCTGTGTTTATCAGTTCCTTTCCCAGGGCAATGTAGACTGAGAATTCTTTGAAATCTGAAACTTCAGCACTTCAATGTCAGACTAAAATCTATTACTCTTACCTCACCTCACCATCAACCAACTTGCTCTTGAGCAACCTGAGATCTTTAACCATTTTTCTTCTAGACTATTAACAGTGTTTGCTGACCAGAGCTCCTCCTTACTGAGTAAAGACTGCATATAAGATTAACTTTACCCTTAACAGCACCCTCAACTCCTGTTCCTTTGGCTTCACTCCAAAACTTCCCTTTGATCAAATCCATGTTCTTTATCTCCTAATTCTATATCATTCTAAATATACCGTAGAGTTCCTTGCTGAATAAAGCTGTATTCTTACACTAACTGGGTAGACCAAAAAAAGAAACCAAACTAACTGCCATCGAGTTGATTCTGACTCATAGCAACCTGCTTTGGGTTTCTGAGGCAGTAAATCTTTATGGAAGTAGATTGCCCAGGCTTCTAAGGAGTGGCTGGTGGGTTTGAACCTCTGATTAGCAGTCAAATGCCTTAGGCACTATGCCATCAGAGCTCTTTTTGGGTAGACCAGTGGTTAGCAAACTGCAGCCCACAGGCCAAATCTAGCCAGCTTTTGTTAAATTTTTATTGGAACACAGACATACTCATTTGTTTACATATTATCTGTAACTGCTTTTGAGTTGAGACTGATCATTTAGGGAGTAAGTTTGCCAACTTCTGGTATTTATCACTAACATAAATTTATAGTTCTCAAATGCAGCAAGCTCCTCACTATTTTTCAACAGATATAATTTTAAAAGTCTGACAATTTCCTTGAAGTTCTCAATCTTAGCCTTACACTCCAACTTCACATTTTGTTCTACATAAAGAAAAGAGGCCAGTTCAGTTTGAAACTCAACTTCCTACCCTACATCCTACTTCCGTATTTATATCTATCCTTGATATAACACCTCTGCACCCCACCCTCAGTTCTCAGGAAGAGGTTTATTCATTAGCATCCATGTTGATACATCTACCACCTGTGTTCTCACATAAACTCACCTCTCCTTCTCTGGACTCTTGTCCAGCACGTACTCCTCATCCAGTTTCTATCTGTTGTTCTTTTTTTTTTGTTTGTTTAAAGAATTCCTTCTGTATCCTTAGGTTATAAACATGGTCAAGACTTTCCCATCTCATAAAAGAAAACAAAACCCAGGACCTCTCAATTCAATGCTTCATTCTCTAGTACTGCTCTCTCTCTTTCCATGAGCCATCATCTCGAGGAACAAGCCACTAACTCACCTCTACTCACTTCTTGAGGCACTCCCACTGGAGGTCCACTCTCACCAGTGCAACGAAACTGTGCTGGGAAAGCTATCCAGTCACATAATTATCAATATGTCTTAACTGTCTGATTTGACCTTTTCCTAATTTTTGACACTTCTTCTTTTCCCTTACCATGTGCTACTGTCTTTTTTGTTCTCTCTCCTTTTCCTCTATAGCAGCAGTTTGCAAACTTTAGCATGCATCAGAATCACCTAGAGGCCTTGTTAAAACAAGATTTTTGGGCTCCTGAGCACAGACTAAGGAGTCCTGGTGGCACAGTGGTTAGCCTCTGGGTTGCAAACTGAGACGTCAGTGTTCAAGCCCACCAGCCACTCTGTGGGAAAAAGATGCAACAGTCTACTTTCATAAAGATACAGCCTTGGAAACCCTAAAGGGCGTTTCTACTCTGTCTTTTAGGATCACTATGAGCTGGACAGCAATGGGTTTGGGTTTTGAGCACAGAGTTTCTGATTTAACAGGTCTGAGAGGGGCCTGATAACCGGCATTTCTAGTAAGTTTACAGGTGAGCTGATGAAGCAGCTGATACAGGAACATCGTGAGAAATCACGGACCTAAAAAGGTCTCCCAATCTGTGCTCTCTGCTGCTTTCACTGCCCCTAAGTAGTAGGAGGGGGTCTATTCTCTAATTTCTTCTCTTTGTGTTCTCCATGCTATCCCTGGGCAATATTTCATCTCTATCTGTGGTCTTAACAGAAGCTCTGGTGGTATAGCACCTAAGGCATTTGACTGCTAACCAGAAGGCTGGTGGTTCAAACCCACCAGCCACTCCTCGGAAGGAAGGTTGGGCAATCTACTTCCGTAGTGACACCGCCTCGGAAACCCAAGGAGGGGTCGCTGTGCATCGGGCTCGACTTGATGGCAGTGAGTTTTTTTTTGGTTTGTGGTATTAACTACATTATGCACTACACAGTGAATTCCCAATTAAATTTCTAGGCCTTATTTTCCTCTTGACTTCTAGCTGCCTACTGGATACCTGCCTCTGGATATAGCAAAAGACAATGACATGAACTTGTATAAAATGCTATTAACTGACATATGAACCACAGCAACTGCCCTTCTCCCCGTATTCCCTTATCTAATTAATAAGACTGACCTCTATCCAGTCACTCAATCAAGAAACCTGAGAGTCACCATTAAATCTTCCCCTGGGATTAACCAGTTGTTGTGCCTTCTAGTTGAATGACTCATAATGACCCTACAGAACAGAGTAGAACTGCTCCATACAGTTTCCCAGGCTGTCATCTTTATGGAAGCAGATCACAGGTCTTTCTCCCATGGAGCTACAGGGTGGGTTCAAACCATCAACCCTCCAGTTAGAAGGCAGACACTTAAGCACTGTGCCGTAAGAGCTCCTAACATTACCCATTACTAGTCAATAAATCCTGTCAACTCCACTTCTCCCTGTCTCCATTCAGCTCTCTCCTCTTTACCCCAATCTTCTCTTAACCTGACTACAATAATGGCCTCTCAGTGTGTCTTCCCTGCCTCAGTTTCCTAATTTGTAAAATGGAGGCATGCAAATAAATGATATCAGTTATTAATTCTCAGAAATATAGGTATAGTTTTATACAAAAGTATTAATAGTGAAAAAGCTGTCTTTTTTCTGCTTGTGACAATATTCCATTATCACTTTCATTATAAACATTAGTTCTTAAAATGTGAACATTTCAACAAATCAGTAAGTATCAAGTAAGTGCTATGCCTTCTATGAGAAATGCTCTGACTTCTGTTCCTAATCTAAAATTATTTTCTGAATTGGCAGTATTTAGTACTTTCCGAATTAGCAGAATTTTGCACTTTCCTCCTATACTGAAGCTGTTAGCAGCATCACCTTGCTTTTTTCTACATTGCTTCCGTCTTGCTGTGTGCTCACCTCTGCCACCAACACATTGTGCTGCATCTTCTTTCTGGACTTCATTATCCGTACGATGGCGGCTTCTATCTCATGTTTTCTGTCATCATCTACTTTCTGCCTTGTTTCTTTTCTTTCGGGGTCAGACTCACCTTGTTTGGCAGCAACTAAAATAGAAAAAAGACATTTTAACATAAATGTAATGAAGTAAATTAGTTTATCAGCAAACTTAATATAATTTAGTATTAACCACAGGAAAAAAAACCGACTGCAACCTCTGAGGAGACACACATACGATTCATTTAGGTAAACGCTGCAGAAATGCCTAATACAATGTTTATTTTAATAATATTTAAATGACCGACAATCAATAATACAAAAATCCTGCAATTCTAAATTATGCTTTTTAGAAATTAGGAATTCAATTTTATCGAGATAAGAAAACCAATCTGATTTTTATAGAAAACAATGATTTCTTTAGGAAGAAAAATGGTAGTCAGAACTGCTTAGGAGTAAAATTATCAGTAATTTTCACAGCTTATGAATTCCACAAGATAATACTAATACTATTATTGTGGTTCTGAGTTAAAATTCACAAGAAGTATTCCATATAGGTGAAATATCTGTCTTATTAACTTATTAATGTATAAGGCCTTAAAGGGAGGAAAGAGTACGCATTTCTGAGATTCCAACAGCTAACTAATTAAAAACTACCACTGGAATGTCCGATCAGAGACTCCAAGACAGCTAAGTAATTCAGTTGTATTGCTAAGTGAAATATCCATGAATTCTAATATCTACTCATCCCTTGTCATCTGATTTATTAATACTTGTTATGTCACAACCTCATTATTGCTAATTCATTCCAGTCTTCAGGAAAAGCCCTATTTGGTCTTTAAGGCAATTGCTAAGAGATTAAATACAGAAGTCTCTTTCTCCTACAACTTTCTTTTAATTGAAGTAGCAGAGAAAGAAAACTGGTAACTACAATTCTTTATTTGGTCATCAGTACAGAGAGATGAGAAGTTGCTGAAGGTAGAAACTGAAAAAGTACAAAAGTACTTGGGACACACTGCTGACAGGTATGGCCACAGGCAGGAGACTACAAGATGCACAACTGGGAAGGTCATTCCAGTGGCATCTCTATTCAGCTATGCATTTCTAATTAGAATTCTCTGCTTATATATATACTGCTTTCAGCATCATTTCCCAAGTGAAAGAGAATAAATTATCTTTATTCCCCTAAAAATAAAATTAGATTAAAATAAACTACACTAGGAAAGAATAATGCTTTAGATTACAAGGAACTAAAGAGACATAAAAATCTAATGTGGAAACCTTGACTGAATCATGGATCCAAAGATAAGGTACAAAAAGCATTTCTGAGACAACTGAGGACATCTAAATATGGGTAGTATATGGATGATATATGGCCCATGGTGGTGCAGTGATTAAAAAACTCGGCTGGTAACAAAGAGGTTGACCACCAGCCGCTACACAGGAGAAAGATGGGGTAGTTTGCTTCCATAAAGATTTACAGCCTTGGGAACCCTATAGGGCAGTTCTTCCCTGTTCTATGGGGTCACTATGAGTCAGAATCAACTTGAGAGCAGTGGGTATGGATTTTTTGCTTTTGTACACATGGCGTGGAATTGCATATTTCCTTGGGTGTGGTATAGTATCATAATTATTTAGGGAAATGTCTTCTAAGAGAAGTGTGAAGTATTTAGGGGCAACTATTATGATGTTTGTGAATTACTTTCAAATGTGTAGCCAACACACATACACATTCACAGAGAGAGAGAGAGAAATGTGGTAACATTTTTTTGGATTGTAAAGTTGGGGGAAAGAAAGAATTTTTTAAACAATCCATTTGATTCATCTAAATTCGATCACCACAGATTCCTTAAATACTCGCCGAAAGAAAATCAATGCGAAGACTGTTGTGATACACAGTGAACAATGATGCTTTTAAAAATGTGAGAGCAAGAGCCCAACTCCAGAACCTCTCACTTATCACTCTGCACTAAAAACAGCCTAAAAAGCTGATGTGTGCTTGTATAAGTAAGTGTTCCCGTATCTGTCTAAATATATGCAGAGTAGGGGGGAGGGGGAAGGCAAGCAGGGAAGGAAACAGTCAAAAGCTGTAAATTACAACACATCTCATTCTTTTCAAAGACTGTCATTTGAGAAGTACTTTTACCTTCTCTTGAACGTTCATTACTGGCTAACTTAAAATGTAGCATAAATATGTAAGGTCATGTGAGTCTTTGTGTACAGGATGATGACCAGTGACCTTAAATACCTTACCCAAAAGACTAAGATGTACTTGGACAATGTAAGAAAACCTATGCAGTTGTAACATTCACTACCAGTGCAAAAATATGACTTACACAAAATGTAAGTAAGAGCCAAGATAATCTAAGAACATCCCCAAATGAAAAACAGTATTTCTTCACAGAATTATACAGCTGAAGAGAACTTCTAAGACATCATATAGTCAAATCTTTCACATTTAACTACATTCCTATTTTAAACAGATCTAAAATAACATACACATATACACACACACTTAATACACACAAAACCCATGAAGAGAAAATGATTTTTTTTTTTCTTTTTGGTATTAGTATCTGATAATACCATTGCTGAGTATGATGGAATCTGAGACTACAAATACAGTTACATATTTATAAAGTAAGATAGTGTTCAGTATTTTTGAAACACATTACATCTATTTTCCTCTAAATCTAGGATACAAATAAACCCTAACATACAAAACCTGTATATGCCCCAAAACTACGAAGATTTTACCTCTTGCACTGGTGGAAAAAGATACTCATTCTATGACTCTCATTAGTACAGGTCAGTTTTATTTTTAATATACATCTATATCACAAAGATATGAGGCCAATCTTAGCTGATCAAGATTACAATGATATAATTTGCAACTATGGGACTGAAGTAATAAAGGCATTAAAAGAGATACCACCTTGTTTCACAAAGCATGCATATAAACTCAATGTCAAAAAGGAATGCAAGTTAGAAGTGTGGATGTAAAGTCCTTAAATCAATGTATTCTGGTAACCAACTGGATATTTAACATTAACGTAATTTTTTCAAAGACCTTATATTTCATTAATGTACAATATATGTATTTTAAAACCAGAAAAAAAATCTCATTTATCTTAAGATACAGTTTTATTATGCAATACATTTGTTGCAATACATTAATTACTACGGGAGCTTTTCTAAAACTAATTTTGAAATCAGATTAGCAAACTGTATTAGAATTTTAAGCATCAGGATGGGTGGATTTCATTTGTCCCCCTTAAATGCACACAACAAAAACATCTTACATTATGTTAAATATACAAAAAAAAAAAAAAAAATTCACTATCAACTTAAAAAGTCACACAGTACTCAAAAAATGTTCACAATAGATTATGATTTCTGCTTTTAAATTAGAAAGACAGATTTTAATCAATAAAAGCTGCTTTATTTCTTAAGTCTATTGTCATGTAGTATCACAAAAAAATTTTTTTCAAGGCAGAATTTCAACAGGAGAGAGTATTTTTAGAGAAAATAGGTAACTTGTTAAAGAGGAAAAATGTAATTCCAGATACCTGTTTGAATCTTGACTCTGTGTAGTTTGGATGTGAATTGGTCGTTAACTGTAAATATGTGACCATTTTCTATTTCCTTTGACTTGGGTTCTTTTGTAAGAACCCGTTGTGTTGGTTTGCCACAAGCGAGGGACTGCAGGGCTCTGACAAGCTCTCTTTCAGGAATATCAGTCTCTTGTTGAATTTCCTGAAATTTTCCAGATTAACATAATCAGACCTTATGAAAGATTAAAATACATTAGTTAATTAGCAACTGAAACTGACCAGGCAGTAGTTAACCCACTGCCGTTGAATCCATTCCAACTCACAGCAGCCCTACAGGACAAAGCAGAACCACTCCACAAGGTGTGCAAGGCTGTAAATCTTCACAGAGGTAGACTGCCATCTTTTTCCCATAGTGGGTTTGGATGGCAGAACTTTTGGTTAGCAGCTAAGCACTTTAGTGTACCACCACGGCTCCTCATAAACAGTAGTTAGAGAGAGGTAATTCCATTAGCAAATAATTTGAAAGAAATAAATTTATTAATATTATGGCACTTCACTAAAATCTCACATATTTGAACAAACTAAAGGGAAGGGTGATTCAAGCCATAAAATACCTAAAAGATATGCATTTTTTGGGTTACTTTTGGGAGATATAAGGCCTAGTCTAAAAATTCATTCAGTAGAGATTATTAGAGATTTGCCTTAATATTTAGGTAAAAATAAATAAAGTGTAATCAACATAAAATTGTTTCTAGAGTACTTTTCAATCATCTTATATTTATCCATACTACTTCCTTATTAGCAACTTCTTTCATAGAAATAAGCTAAGTAAGCTTTAATTTAGGCCTTTCATTGCACAATCAAAATTGATCAGTTACTGTCTCTATGGACAAATGAAAGAAAAAATGAAAACATCTCATCATTAACAGAAAACATAAAAATCAACCAGAAATCTGCTTTGAAGTTCAGGAGATAATTTTTGCTATATATTATAATATAAATAAAATTCAGTACTGGAAAAAAAAAAGAGAAGGAAAAAGAAGAAATGTAGCTGGGGAAAAGAAAGCCGTATAATTTTTTATTTACGATATTCTTTTCACTTCGTGTCACTGGGATAGCAAGAGTACCGTGCAATGATATGACCTGCTCTCTAGATGTCTGGGGAAATACAGCTGTGATTCACTGTACAAAGCTGTTCCTTCTCGAAAGCAGTTCAGGAGAGTGGGTGTGAGCAAGACGAAGCTCTGTTTAGGGAACCAAGTCACCCTCCCACTATCAAATGTCGTAGAGCAACACGTCAAGCTTTTCTAGAGGGCTGACAGGTAAGCCAAGATTCAGAGAAACAGGAATGTCAGTGACACACGTTCCTTTGCTCTTCTAAGTAATTTCTGGTCTATGTCTATGTTTACCTATCTTTCAAATACTATAAATGTTAATCTCGGCAAATTAAAGAGGTAGTATTATTTACTAGAATGGAAATCGTAATTTCATACTAAAAGTGACCTAGTCACATATTTTAGTGATAATTCAGTCAGAGTCACAGAACTGGAAATATTTTCTTAAGTGAAAGGTATTTTACATTTGATGCGTATGGACAAGCTCCCTTTCAAGCTGATCAACAATTTAATTCCCACAACAGTGATGAGCCTCCTCTGTGCACTCTTCAACACTGGATTTCCTTTCTCTTTTTTCCATCTGCTGGGCTAAAAACGGCATCTCATCATTTTAATTGTAGCTCCATGACCTCACAACTGGACCAGCAAGCAGCATCACGATAAATGGAGAAAAGACTGAAGTTGTCCAGGATTTTACCTGGATCCACAAACAATGCCGGTGGAAGCAGCAGTAAAGAAAACAAACAACGTATTGCACTAGGCAAATCTGCTGCAAATAGCTTTTTAAAGTGTTTAAAAGCAAAAATTTGACTCTATTTTAAGACTAAGGTGAGCCTGAAGTAAGCCATGGTATATTCAATAGCTTCATATGCATGAGAGCTGGCAAATAAATAAGGAAAACCAAAGAAGAATTGATGCATTTGAATTGTGATGTTGGCGAAGAATACTGAATATACCATGGACTGCCAGAAGAATGAATAAATCCATCTTAGAAGAGTACAGCCGGAATGCTCTTCAGAAGCGAGAATGGCCAGACTTCACCTGTCATACTTTGGTCATGCTGTCAGAAGGGACCAGTTCCTGGAAAAGGACAGCATGCTTAGTGAAGTACAGGGTGAGCAAAAAAGCAGAAGCTCCTCCACGAAAGTGGCTGTGATGATGGGCTCAAGCATGGCAATGTTTAGTTCTGTCACAGACAATTTGCTATGAGTCAAAACCAACTCAACAGCACCCAACAACAACAGCAACATGGCCAGTAGGGGAAAAGAACTTTTCCTATTTAAAGGACGCCTGTAATTCTTCTTCTGCACTTTGCCTATTTGTATTTCTTGCCTGCTCTTCTATTCAATTATTTATTTTCATACTTATTGAGGACTCTTTATACATCATGGTTTTCAATTCTGTCACATAGTGTAAATAATTTCTTCCAATCTCTGATCGTTCAACTTTATTAGATTTCACAATATGGATGAATAATTAATACACCATCTTACTGAACACATAAAGAACAAATGAAGGCAAAAAATCAGCTTCCTTCAAAATGATTAAAATTAACTACTTTTAACTCTCTCCTTTCATTTGTGGAGAGAATTCCGTAAAGGAAGTAGCTAATAAAACCTATCCAAAGGCTGTGAAAAGCAGACGGGGCGAGTAAAGATGAAACCCTACGTGCCTTGTTGCGATGCCCCCTTTCCAGGCATATGCAGCCAGAAGGCTTGGAGCCACAGGCACGGCATTCTACAAGTGCCATCTAGGCTTGGAGGTCTGCTTTGTGACTTAGCTAAAATGTGAGATAGTAAAGGAAATTTCTACTTCATTTTACATTCTATACAACCACTGCTCATAGCATCAAATGATTCCAAGCCAGCTACAAAAGGGAAAAGTAAGCTTAAAACACTAAAATCACTAGCAATTCCAGTAACAGCTATGGAAAAATTAATTTAAATTTCTACTTTCCCATTATTATCATTATTTCCTTATAAATTAGGCCTCTAAAAACCAACTCCAGAACTTATTAAATAGCTTATTTTGCTTAAAATATATTATCCATGAGATGCAGATTCAAACTTACCTATATAAAATTACCTAGAGAGAATTTAATTCTACCTCTATTTGAAAAGCTTTGCAATGTTTGAGTAACGGATGAGTAATTACTTACTTACAGAGTCAACATTTGGGAACTCAATTACATACAATATGTGCTTGAAAATTAAGGTTTTTCTCTAGGTAAAACCTACCTGGAAATGTGAGAGTTTTATCATGTATTTCCTCTTGATTCAGCCACTGAACTAAAACACTTAGATTTCAAAATATTTCCTTTGAAGCCTATCATATAAAAATGGTCATCTCTTAATTATATTCACCACATAGTGGGAGAATAGAGATGAATACAAAAATAATCTTCTTTTTAATTTTAAACTTGCAAAAATATTGTTCTCTATCCACACCTGAGTATCTGAAAACTGGCTTTTAATTAAGTATAAATTAAATATTCACTTATTATTTTTAATTTAAACTTAGTAAGAATCACATGGTCTTCACTTTAAACCCAACCTATCCTTCAAAGATATGGGAGAAGATTAATTAAATTTAATGTAATCAAATCATGACCTGATGAGAATGGTAAGTAAAAAGTAGGCTTATTATAATTAGTTTTTCTAAGGGAGAAAAAGAAGATAGGTGCAAAAAGCAATCAAGACAATGCAAATTAAGACTGAAACTGGTGTAAGGTTAAAAATACAAATCAAAGAAACAGATCGGAGAGCCTGGAAACAGTCCCAAAATACACGGTTATTTTGATTTTCTATAAAGATCCAAGGTAATTCAATAGGTGAAAGAACAGTATTTTGAACAAACAGTGCTATAACAAACTGAGTATCTTCTATCTGTGTGTGCATTGTGTGTTGGGGTATGTGTGTGTGTTAAAATGTAATCTTTACCTCATACCATACAAAAAAAGTAACCTGAAATTTACCACAGACTTAAATATAGAAAGTTAAAACTCTAATGTGTGTAGAAGAAAAATATAGGAAGAAAAAAAATCTTTGTAATCTTAGGGTCAGTGATAATTCTTGAACAGGAAACCAAAAGCACAAACCATAAAAGAAAAAAGGGGTTATTTAGAGTCTGTAGATATTCAGAAGTTCTAATCTTCAAAAGGTACCATTAAGACAATAAATCAAGTGACAGACTAGGATAAAATATTCACAGCACATGTAATATCTGACAAAAGACTTGCATTCAGAATTTATATAGAGCTCTTAGAACTGAGCAATAAGAAAGCAAACAACCCAATTAAAAGATTTGAACACTTCAATAAGCAAGATATATAAATGGCATATGAATGCATGAAATACACTCAACATCAAGGAAAGGAAAATTAAACTCACAATGAAAAACAGCTACATATGAACTATAATGGCTGAAAATAAAGAGGCTGAAAATACCAAAATTAGAAGAGGATATAGAACAACTGGATTGCTTATATATTACCAGAGAGAATGCAAAAGTATACACTTGCCTTGAAACAAAGTTTGGGTAGAAATGCAAACAGTTTGACAGTGTTTTATAAAAGTTAAATATTAACTTACCACACAACCCAGCCATTCTACTCCTAGGCATTTAACCAAGAAAAAGGAAATCCTAAGTCCACAAAAAGACTTACACACAACTCTTCATAGTGGCTCTATTCACAATATCATATTTGAATCTAGAAATAACCTGTAATACATGTCATTAGGTGAATGGATAAAGAAAACATACATAATGGACTATGATCCAGTAATAAAAAGGAATGAACTACTCATACTGATATGTGTAAAAACATGGCTAAATGTAAAAAATACGTGATGTGAAGAAAGCAGGACACTAGTGATATACACTGTATACCTATTCATATGAAAGTCTAGAAAAGGGAAAACTACTATAGTGACAAAGCAAATAGGTCGTTGCCTGGAGCTGGGGGTACAGAAGGAAATGGTCAGCAAATAGGCACAAAAGAACTATGAATAATGCTTTTTATCTTGAATGTAGCAGTAGTTACACAGGTGCATATACTTATTACAGCTCATCAAACTGTGCACTCTGATTGGTTATATTTTATATGGAAAATGTTGACAAACCAAAATGAAACGTGACTCAATGAATGCATAATATTTAAGGTCCGATTCGATGCGTTTTCGCTAAGGGTACTCAGAGACATTCTAAAAGTCACTCAAAGAAGAAAGACTTATAACCATAACCCATACCTCAAACGTGTATTTTTCTCTATTATTAAAGAGCATTAATATGGTCATCTGGAAAGTGGAGACTTGTAATATATGCTTCCGTGTATTAGAGCCAGTTACTTGTGCACCTCCAACACCAACTTCAGATCCATCTTCCTGTTTCGTATTTTAAAAAAGATATAAACAAGATATAATTACCTCTCTGAAACTTTAACAGTAATATTTCAATTAAGCCTTATAATCTTCATTCCAGTTTTAAAAACTAACATGACTTAACTCCTATATAAAAAGAAAATGTGCCTAACAAGTATAATAAAACTAAAAATTTAATTGTTGTTGTTGTTAGGTGCCATCGAGTCATCTCCGACTCATAGCGACCCCATGCACAGCTGAAAGAAACACTGTCCAATCCTGCGCCAGCTCCACGATCCCTGCTATACTTGAGCCCATCATCACAGCCACTGGGTCAATCCATCTCGTTGAAGGCCTCCCCCTCTTTCATCAACCCTCCACCCTACCAAGCATGACATCCTTCTCTAAGGAGTGGTCCCTTCTGACAACATGACCAAAATAGGTGACACGAAGTCTGGCCATTCTCGCTTCCAAGGAGCATTTTGGGTGCACTTCCTCCAGGACAGATCTGTTAGTTCTTTTAGCAGTCCATGGTACTTTCAGCATTCTTCACCAGCACCACAACTCAAAAGGATCAACTCTTCTTC